GAGGCGTCCCCGAAAAGGTATCAGGGTTGATCAAAACTGCCGTGTCCTAGAGACTCAGCCGAGAGCACATCATCCATCCTACCATTCACCTCCCAACACTCCTGAGTCGGCGGCGGCTCGATCTCAGTCCAGGAGGACGGGATGAACCCCCTGTACCGGAAACATGGGCGCGCATCGCCTTGGGTAGTGTCTTGCATGACTAAGTCTTCCGACGACTCGTATACTTCGTGATTCTTGTTCTGTGAACACAACCAATACCGATGCTTGGGGGGTTCTGGGGCCTCCTTACACCTGGGGCAGAGGTGGAACTCTTGCAGGCCCGCCTCCTTCTTAATAGTCGGAATCCACGAACCCCCAACGGCGATCGAGAGAAGCAGCTCCGCAAGCTTGCGCCCGCGGGGCGCGTCCTGCAACTGGTGAAGCAAAAGACGCATGCTGCTGTTGTCAACCCCTCCCTCCATTCCCTCCCCTGAGTAATGCCTGGCGGCGGCCTGCCACTGCAGAGAAGAGAGGCTAGAGAGGAAATCATCCAACAAACCGGCAGCGTGGTCTAAAGCAACAAAATCAGTGTCGTAAAATATCCAATGGAAGTCGGGCTCAACTCCATCCGTGCTTGGCCCAGTCCAGTGAGTGGGAGAAATGGGATTCCACCCGAGATTCATCAACTGTAGGCTCATGGCTGAGACGGGTCCCCGAACATGCCTGGCACGCTTAGCAGGCTCGATGGCTTGCAGATCTTTATAAATGATGGGCCAAGCACGTCGGATGCCGTCTCGAATATGCGGCTCGGCAAGCCACGCGTGCAGCCATTGCTTTAAACACATAGTAGGCAGACGGATCCCAGGATCGTTGCCGTGCGTTCTCAAATCCAGCAATGTTGTGACACACCGGCCACGCTTACATGCACCAGCCACAGAACCTAACTTCTTTCTAAAATTGACAAAGTGGCTCCCAAAAGCTCCATACACTTGCACTCCATACGTGGCCCCAGCTTGAGGGCCAGCCAATTCCACTCTTTTGGTCGTGAGATACCGTTTCGACGCTCTGGCATATTTCCTTAAGACGTGATTCAGCTGAGCCGATTTCTTTTGCCATTGCCTCTTGGTGGCCCGCGCATGTCGTTTCCCCGCACCCTGATCAATGCCCAAGTAAGTTGTCTGTGAAATTGGCTGTACATCGGTACCACGAGCACGCAAGTACTTAGAAACAGACTTGGCAATCTGATGGTTGGGGACGATGACGACACTTTTTGATGCCACGGCGAGGTGCTCTTCTTCAAAGAGAGCGGCAACATCGCTCACACTCTGCTGCAAGTCACTTTCAACTTGTTTAGCCGAGCCTCTAGATACCAACGACAAATCATCGATCCATATACGTTCCCTTATCCTCGGATGTACGATATAAGTTTTATAACAGATGAAATGCGTCATACACCTGGCCATACGAGTCCGTCCTCGTGCTCGTCCAGGTTCTCGAAGAAGGTCGGGTCGACGCCGGAGGTCGCTGTCGCCTCTTCCGAGGGAGCTGGCCTGTGCGCAGCAGCGTCGCCGCCCTGCGTGGCCCACTGGGCCTCGAGGCGAGCCTGGTCGGCCTCGAAGAGCTCCTCTGCAGCCCGGGGCCGACGCCCCCTCGGCGCTCCCGGAGCCAGACCTCCGCGGGAGAGGAGGGCCCCGGACGCCTCGGCCGGCTTCGCCCTCTCCTTCCTGGCGCAGGGCGGGGTCGCCTCGCGGAGGACAGCGCAGGCGCACGTGGGCTTCGGCACGGGATTGGAGCGCTCCGCGGCCGCCTGGGAGCTGCTGCGCCCGCGACGGAGCGCCTGCGCCGCCTCGAGGCACTGCTGCGGCGGCTGCTCGGGCGCGGCCCTGGGCGGCAGGAGAGCCGGCCAGTCTCTGGGCGGAGGCGCCCAGCCCGACCGTTCGCTGCTGTGCTCCCAGGGGTCCTTCGCGAAGCCCGAATGGTGGACGCCGCAGACCTCGCACTTCCCCTTCTGCTCCTTGCGGCGCCAGTCCCAGACCCATTGGCCACGGCCCGAGCACGTCGTGTAGGCAGCATTGCCGTTGCCATTGCGCGACTTCTGACGGGACGTCGAAGGCAACTGCACGCACTGGTGGCGGTGTCCTGCGCGGGGGCGGACCAGCACCGGATACAGGCCAGGGCAGACTGGCCGAGGTAGCGAAAGCAAGTTCGGGAAACAGAGCTATCCGGTTTGGGCACGAGCGCGGAGCCCCCCCAGAGCAGAAGTTTTGAACCAAAACGGCTACGGAAGAGGATGAGGAGAAGGAGGAGGAGGAGGAGAAGGATGAGGAGGATGAGGAGGAGGCAGAGGAGGAAGAGAGGGAGCGGGAAAGGGCTCGAGGGAGGACGGCTGGGAAGAGGAGGGCGAGGAGGAGGAGAAGGAGGAGGAGGAGGAGGAGTAGGAGGATGATGAGGAGGAGAAAGAGGACAAGGAGGATGAGGAGGAGGAGGAGGAGGAAGAGGATGAGGAGGAAGGGGGGGAGGG